GGGTTCAAATCTTCAACATAACACAAGACAAAGGCAAACCTCAAACCACTGTTCTATGGCACAGTACACTCTCACTCAGTATATAGGAGCAGACCGGGGTAATTAAACCGCCCAACTCCAAGCCGAGTATATGCATGTCTTAGTAACGAGGTAGAAAGGCAAGGCAAACAAGTCAACTACACCCAGGACGCACACATAGTGACATAAAACAGTAATAGCTGCTCAGAAATGTTTCTAAGCTATATGTATCCAACGCGACGCCATCTGGGAGGAAGGGGAGTGAGACGGCCATCTCTTTGGCACAGTACACTCTCACTCAGTATATAGGAGCAGACCGGGGTAATTAAACCACCAAGTTGCCCAACTCCAAACCGAGTATATGCATGTCTTAGTAACGAGGTAGAAAGGCAAGGCAAACAAGTCAACTACACCCAGGACGCACACATAGTGACATAAAACAGTAATAGCTGCTCAAAGGTTTCTAACTAAGTATAGTGATCCACGTCGACGCCATCTTGAGGAAGGGGAGTGAGACGCCATCTCTTTGGCCACAATACCCTCCACTCAGTATATAGGAGCAGACCGGGGTAATTAAACCACCAAGTTGCCCAACTCCAAGCCCAGTATATGCATGTCTTAGTAACGAGGTAGAAAGGCAAGGCAAACAAGTCAACTACACCCAGGACGCACACATAGTGACATAAAACAGTAATAGCTGCTCGGAAACACTGTCTCCTCGTTTGCATTTTCAACAAAATTAGCAACTCACGTAGGCAGTGTCCGAGAGTCACTCCTCAACACGTCGACTGTGTCCTTGTCTTCATTGACGTCATACTTGACGTAGAAGAGTAGGTCATCTCTACCAGACCTGCGGCCCTCCACAAACATCTGCTGGAACGTGGTCTCAAACAATGCATCCCTCAAACCCAGCTGAGGTTTATGGAGGGAGGGAGCAGAGGATAAGAGGTAAATAGTTGGCTTGGCTGCAATCAAAACTGGAAACACAGACAAAAGGTCGTTTGGTAGGGCTTCTGTATGGTTGGCTGTATATAGTCAGAGCCAGTTACTTCTTCAGACTGTATACTTATTAACGTACATAAGAGTGTTGTAACAAAGGACTATGGACAGACTGGTAATGCACTTGATAATATGCACAGGAGTGGCAACTAACATCTCACTATACAATCATACTCAGGGTCTAAAGTGCAATAATCACATCCGAATGTCAAATGGCTGCATGCATGGTACTGTGAATCAACTGGCTGTTGAGCTTCTGCTATTGCAGGTGGACATGCGTGTATCCTAAGACACAGGCTCCATAAAAAACGAAAACAGGTGATACATCTCTCAGACCAAAACGAGGTAACTCAAAACTACACAAGTCAGCACAAAAATACACTACCCCACAGAATCACAAGAAAGAAAAACTACGTCTCGCGCACTGCAGAACTCTCGCAGTCTTGTCTCTATCACAGACTGCGAAAGTCCACACCACGTACATAGAGTTAGAGGTGTCAGTAACTCACAGTGTCTTCGTTTGTTGGCTGTGGCCTTGAACCGCTTCTGATCGAAGCGTGTCTTCAGGTTCTCAAGCAGAAGAGAGAGGTTCATCGCTAGAATTCACCAACTAAACACACGTCAGTCACTCACTGCAAACTTCGTGAGTAGCCTAAAAAACGGAAGTCATGGCGGTGCAGTGTGGGGGTGGGTGGTGTTAGTGTGACACAGGCCACGCCCCTCAAGTTAATTACGCATGCGTTAGAGCATGCGCAAAAACATCGTAACGTTTGGCAGCGCCAGTGCAGTCACGCAGTCGCAGGTCGCTCCCTGGCCGAATTCTACGTTGTGGCACCTACCTGAGGTGGCAGGTTGAGAACTAGGGCACCAGATAGTAGACATGCCTGAGCCGGAAGACGGGAACAAAGGAGTGACAATAGTGGGCGGAGGTCTGGTGGGTTCATTGCTGGCCGTCTCCCTCGGGCAGCGCGGGCTCCGCGTCCACCTCCACGAGTCGCGAAGCGACATCCGCCGTGCCGCAGAAGTCAGCGGTAGGAGCATCAACCTGGCGCTCAGTCATCGCGGCAGGGAGGCCCTGAGAGCAGTGGGTCTGGAGGACGAGGTGCTCTCAACAGCCATTCCCATGCGAGCTCGAATGATCCACCCACTGAGCGGGAACCAGTACTCTATTCCCTACGGGACCAAAAGAGACGACTGCATCTATTCTGTGAACAGACGAGCCCTCAACGAGCTACTCCTGACCAAGGCAGAGGAGAGCCCTAACATTTCCATTCATTTCGAGAGCCGACTCCTACAGGCTGACCTCGAAACAAACACACTGGTTTTTAGCGATGGAGCCACGGGAAAGAAGACGGTTCAGACCGAGTTTGTTTTCGGGTGCGATGGAGCCCACTCGACAGTTCGTAGACAGATGATGAGGTGGGGCCGACTCAATTATCAGCAGGAGTACATCCAGCACGGCTACAGGGAACTCACCATGCCTCCAACTCCCAGCGGGGACTTTGCCATGGAACCAAACTTCCTCCACATCTGGCCGCATCACGAGTTCATGATGATCGCTCTTCCCAATCGCGACAAGTCGTTCACCCTCACCCTCTTCATGCCTTGCAGCGTGTTTGAGTCGATTCGAAATGAAGATAGCCTCCTCACGTTCTTTCGGGCCCATTTTCCCGATAGCATCAATAAGATTGGAGTCGAGCGTCTCTATAAGAGTACTTTGCTAACCCGCAGGGAAAGATGATATCAGTCAAGTGCTCCCCACACTTCATGGCTGGAAACACTCTCATTCTCGGGGATGCCGCGCATGCCGTCGTACCATTCTACGGGCAGGGGATGAATGCCGGTTTCGAAGACTGTCTCGTATTGACAGAGTGCCTGACAGAGAGTGGAGGAGAGCTAGCAGCAGCAGCTCAGTTGTACCAGGACAACCACTGGAGTGACACACACACCATCTGCGACCTCTCCATGTACAACTACATCGAGATGCGCTCCCACGTCACCTCGCCCCTGTTCTTAATCAGGAAAAGGATTGACAATGCCCTCCACTATCTCTTCCCGTCTCTCTTTATCCCTCTCTATTCAATGGTGGCCTTCACACGTATCCCCTACCGTCGTGTGGTGGAGAGACACAGTGTTCAACAGACGGTCATCAGACGAGGGCTGTGGGGCCTGTCCCTTACCTCTCTGGGGCTACTGGGCTACCTGATCTTCAAATGTGTTGTTAATGACTACCTTCACTAATTTCTGCCATAGTTTAGTGTGTTTCCACTGGTTATTAACGTTCAGCACGCATGCGCAGCGAGGGTTTGGTCTGTCTGTCCATCCATCCTGTACATATGTTTATAGTTAAAAAGTGGAGGAACACTCCTATATAATTATCATAAGCTGCATCCATGCACTGATTTCAATGATTCTACAAACTTAGAACATTTCCCAATTCACTGCTTCACAGCACACCACATACAAAGGCCACGGTGCATTGTTTGGAATAAAGCTACTGTTAGCTAGCTAGATGCCAGCCCTAACCAGAATTCTAAAAACTTTAACACTTAACCAGCCGCGGAATGTGTCCAGAGCCTCCAGTCCATAAGAATTGGTATGGGGATTAAAATACTAGGAAGTAATACACTAGCTATACATCAATTTCTGCTTATCCCCATGGCGTCCAAAGGGTTAATTATACTCAGATCTAGCACTGAGGTCCTGGCATCTATATAGCTCATTGGCCACCTCGTAGCCTATAGTACAAGCATAGCAGTTACATACCGACACGTGCGTGCACACATGCACAGATACACACAGCATCGTGTTACACTTGTGATTCTAACCACGTAAAAAACAGGACCCGAGAGTAACAAACCTACTCCCCCCTTAGGATCCATACCTATGACATCCCCCTCAACACCCCACTGTGCTTAAATTATAATTGTCAATACAATTCTGTAAGTGGTAGATTTTACATATATAAGAGTCTGTAGCATTGGGGGATTTGGGGTGCCATACAAAGATCTTTTAACCCACCATCCCCTGCTCTCAAGGCAGGGCTCTGTGTCCTATATAAATATTATATAATTATACTCATGAGCTTGTATGTGTAGTACACACATGTCATGTATTCTGTTCTTCTCTAACATTAGTGCCTTGCTTAGCTGCGTACTATGTTCCCTACTATTACTACAAGTTAGTCACACAGAAACCCTAAGAGTAGCATAATGGCCCAATAATACACTTCTCCTTGTAGAAAGAGGTGGGTCAGAGGTGTGTCAACAGTGACGCATACACTTCGGACCACTAGGCAGCCATATGCGGTGAGGTTGGCACATGCCTCCCAAACTCTAGGACTATCCTTCCCCCAATACTCAACACACACACACACACTGTAACAGTACTTGCACATGCACGTTAAGAGTTAATTTACATGGTGGTTGTATGAGCATCTACCTCTGTAGCAAGTGCATCTAGCATGCAAATCTCTGATATCATGGTGTAGCAAAATCGAAACCATAGAGTACAGTTTGTATACTAACTAGAAAAATCAGCAACAAAACAGTATTTAAAAGCTATTTAAACTTTGTACTGCTGTAGAAGTTGGACTATTTGCTGATGACCTTTGGCTCTTGCAACACTCTGCTGTACGTCCATCCTGAGAGGTGAGGGAAAATTACACTCATTGACTAAATGAGAGACAGTCACACATTATTGAGCACTAAACCCTCGTTGCAAATGGGTGCTGACGTCAGCAGTCTTAGCCTGCAGTAGATGCACTCTACACATGTGCCGAGAGACAGCACTGCTAATTGATGGGCGTGGCCATGGTGGGTGGGTACACAGCAGAGTCACACACAACCACATGACAATCCCTCTAATATATATGTTAGCACTCAAACAAAGATGTGACTAATAAGTATAGCTTTTTACCTTATAAGGTAGATCCTTAGCTCCAGATTCCAGCAGGAGTCTAACTACTTCCAGGTGTCCTTTCTACTGGCAACAAAGAGTGCAGTTGCTCCATTCTAAAGATTAAAAGAGAAACATATCTCTATACAAACAGTCAGGAAAGTATCCTACTGGTAGAGCTGATATTCTTTATTTTTAATTCTACATTTCTTTCTCTCTTTCACACTACGCACTCTTCACCATTCTTTCACTCTACCAGGAATGAGATCGGGAGCGAGATGCACGGATTAATTAATCTGAGGTAACCCGGTGAAGAAAGCTATCCATGCCAGCGCTTACGTGCTGACATTACTTCATTTCTACCTTTCTTCCTCCCTTTCACACTATGCACTCCTCACTATTCTTTCAGTATATATACAAGGCATGAGATCGGGAGCGAGATGCACAGATTAAAAACCAACATAAGGTACATATGCAACCCGGTGAAGAAAGCTATCCCATGCCAGCACTTATGCGCTTACATTACTCTTTCAGGCACATGATGGGGACACTCAGATGTGCTCACTGCTCATGGTGACAGGTGGAGCAAGACCAGTTCTGGCTCTTCTACTGACTGACCAAGGCAAGGAAACACTTAGAGATGTGGCAAGGAGAAGTATATTGCGCACTCACTCTACTCTGCAAACTGCGTCTGATTGACCAAGGACAGTGTTACAGGAAATTGGGGGGTTTATAGCGGCAAATGCAGTGCTATTCTCGATTAGTCAACCCATTCTGTCTGTATAATACAAGTGGAAAACTCATTCTAAGAGATGAAATACGGATGTCACATCATGAAAAAGAAAAAGAAAGGAACAAGAGGATGCCTAAAAAATCCCACCCCCATCCCAACATCTTTGTGTTTAAATCTTTTGCTGGTCATGAATGCATGAGCATACAAACTATAGATGTCTACATAAACTAAGAAACAAACATCAATCAGATTTCAGAACTCAATGAAAAGCACTAAAGTGCAAACCCTCAGTGAACTGCGCATGCGCTGTATCGCTAATTGATGGGCTGGGCTATCTGTATGCGTTACTCCCGCTAGTAGCTCGCAGAGAGTCTGACATGGGCTAGCTACAGTAGTAGCTAAATAGCATGCGGGAGTTGATACATGCCCTTCGTTGTTACTTATTGCCATAAGCATAGTGAACTTTCAGAACTAGCCATCCTACATCTTATGCTGTGACTGATCCATACTAAGGTGATGGGTAATGTAGAAAGCATAAAGCAGGTTCAGTGGTGGAGAGAATCACTGGGAGGTCAGGTTCAGAACTATCTTGTTCAAAACTATCTCAAGACCTAAATGCAGCAAATTTACCAACACTTTCCTGCTGCAACAAAAACCTAGTCAGCAAATGTGGCAGGCCTCACTTGCAACAGTCTAAGGTGTGCCTTTGCACTTTTCTTAATAAGTACATATCTGTCCAAACCAGTTTGCTGGGAAACCACAAATGTTTTTATTAAGGACAGTTTCACCTGGGTAGAGAGTAACCACGGCCTGTGACCTCAACCAAAACAATGACTTGCATCCCTCTGGCTTTCAAATCTGCACACATATTGCCACTTGAAGAATTTCTATAATAGGCAATAGTACTTCTCTGACCGAACAACCAGATTTCACAAGAAAATGTCTGGAGATACACAAACACCTACGTAACTGGTTGCCTTGCTGTACCTAGGCCCTCCCTCTTCTGAACCTTGCATTTGACCTTTTACCCCCATTTTATAAGGGTCAGAGGTTACTTGCAATGATTTTTCGTGATCAAGTAAACTATAGCGCACCATACACAGGACACAGCAGATGTACGTGAGTGATATATATCACTAAGTTACTCAAAGAAGAGGGAGACCACAGAGGTGAGGCTTTTACGTGGCTGAAGTTCTCATACCTTGTTCTGGTAGTTGATGACAGCTCCAGCTGATATCAGTTTCTCCACAATCTCTGTGTGACCTTTTTCAGCAGCTATCCCCAGAGGAGATGAGAGAGGATCAACCTTCACAAAGAAAAATTCAGTTAAACAGGAATCATTGTGAGTAAACCAGTCACTCACAAAGAGTACTGTTAAATGGCTTTTGGATATACAAATTCAACATTTACATAATAAAGGTAAGAAAGCTACTTTTGGCACTGTTCACCCTCCATAGTCGACTTAAAAGAACATTATTTAGCAAGCTAACGCTAGAGTTACTGGCACACGCAGAAACCTTGTAAAATTTCAGTTCAGTGCATGTGTGAATTATTGCATGTGTGAGTTTAGAATTACATTGGACATCACAATAGGGTGGCAACATTGCAGTATACATTACATATAGAAGTGCAGGCATTTCAGGTAACTAGGTAGGATCACTTTGCTTACCAATTAGATACAGTAGGAATAACTATTAATGTTAAGATGCTTGTAGTAAACCAGTCAACTAACTATGACTAGTCAAATACAGTGAAGGACATTAAGCATTGAGGAGGGGAAAAACAGAGACTAATGTATTGCTCATTGCAGCAACAGACGTACATATGTAGGTACAAGGAAATTGGTGTTACGTGTCAGTTACTCGGTAAGCATGTATTCGCTATAGAGTGAACCATAGGCTACTTCAGAGTAGGCACAATACCAAAAGAAATGTATACTAAATCCTACGAGCAGTAAATACGTACACATTCATTGACATATCCATCCACAAGTCTATTTAAGCGATCAACCATACCAGCCATGAACTATTCCCCATTCTCACAGAAGCTAGCAATAATATCAGTGAGGTCATGCACCAATGGAATTTCTTTCCATTATGATGTCAATGTAAGTCCATTTCAGCATTATGCATACAAAAGTCGCCATGGCATCTTGGCTAAGCCCCAGAACAAGCGAGGATACTTTCAAATGTGAATGTAACCAGGTCTCTTGACAATGTCCCACACACAACCTCAATTCTCTTTGCAAGGGAGGGGGTGTGTTGCTGTCGACAGAGTCTAGGTCACTTACAATCATACTGTCCTTAATATCCTGGCTCCCCTCACATTACAGAGGGAGACTGGGTACAACACTACTTCTCCCCCGTGCTCTGTGTGTCCATGACCTAAATCCCACTGCCATGTACTTTCTGACAAACAGGATGACTGTTGAAATTTGCCCCTAGGTATATGTGCTGGCATCATCTGTACATGGAAGACCTTCCCTAACTGCACAGAGGGACATACTGCTGTGTCTGCTGTGAGAGAGAAGGACATGTACTGCTCTTTCCATTCAGACAGAGAGGTAGCGAGCACAAAGTGTTGGGAGAGATGTTGTGGACCCCAAAGAGCCAAACTTTACTTTGTATTCTTGCATACATCTTACTGTACATGTGTGTTGTCAGTGTGCAAGTTCTTTTGAATGGCAAGTTTTTGTGAGTTTAGAGCGGCTTATTCTTGCCCTGATAAGCAAAATTGTTCTAGTCTAAGCCGTGAAGGTTTTTTCCCTAAGCGTTTACCAAACAACGTAAAAATTTGAGGTCCTTCAAAAAGACCGTGTCGAATGTACTTAGCGAACCCAGCTTGGCTTGGATGCAGACTCATCCCTTAAAATCTGCACAGTACACATGACGATGGATGTTGTTCTCCTTGGCTAGGGCGACGCCATCACATTAGCAGCAGTAAGCAGAAAGAAAACAAACAAAGACTGAATATGTAATGAGTGGCACAGGAAGTGCAGTAGCTACTCTAAACTACAGAAATACTTCTGCTGGAAATACAAAAATTACATGTATAATATATTTCTGGTTCTGCTGGCGACCTGACCGACAAAAAGTATTGTCATACCTCCTTTATTATACATCCAATTGTAAAAGCGCTATCATCATTGGAGTCCTCGCAATTTTTCTGTTGGCGACCCAGACTTCTACATTCCTCAACTAACGAGTTTTACAATGCTGCGTTCTTAGCCATCTACAGAATCCCTTCACCACTGTCCTCACACTTTACACCATTTACTAATGTCAGTGAGTAAAGGTGGCGACATAATAGGGCTGTGTACACATGTGTCACTCGTGGCCCCCGTGTTGCACATTGTGGGGTAACAGAGAGAAGGAGATACATACACACACTCCAGACATAGTACAATAACCCTCTTGTCCATGTGCACCAAGGGTTAATTAATGGCCTCAATATAACTCACTGTAGTGGTAAGATTAACATTTGCTCCATTCTTCAACAGAACATCAACTGTCTGCTTGTGTCCATTCTGACAGGCCACATAGAGTGGAGTAGCACCATTCTGAGTATAGGAGAAAGTGTGACAGAGAGATATACAGGAGAAAGTCAAATGTGACATAATTGTGCAGAGAGATATCAAGAGAGAGCAGTCATACAAACCCTCATACAAGAGAAATACAAGCACGTACATAACAGGACAGAATTATGTTCTGTTCTCCCTCCTGTTCTTAGTGGCTTTCTGTTGCAATGCAAGTCCTGTACTTGAGCACCTAGCACCACAGACCCACACATAGTGGCTGGAACACACAGTGCATAACTTTAACTGATAATGGTGGCTTTTTCTGTTGCCATGCAAACCCCATACCTATATATAATAGCACCACACACTCACACATAGTGGAAATCATGGGTGGATTTATGTGTCAGAGGTATGCCATAGAAATGTATGGAGAGAGTCTGTTCAGGGGTTTGCAGACTTCTAGGACTACAGTGCCGCATATGACTGGATGCGGAACGGAGCGAGTAATGCAATAGTGCTTGAACAATACAAGCACATTAAAATAAAAAAATCCTTGTTACTTCATATAAGGCTAAGTTTTGAATCACGAAATTTGTTGTTGGTTACTAAATGCATAGTATTCCATAAGAAATGATTGTGGGCAACCTCCTCTGATGAATAACCAACCAAAAATTGGTGAATATAGGGAAAAAAACAAGGAGACAAGACAGAGTGTATGTGACGCTGTAGTACAATGCATGACGGCTACATATTTTAAACTGACATTGCTCGCTCATATACATTTTCCTCAACACAAGCCCTATATTGTCACCACTTATATATACTCACAACATGAATATAAAAAGTGTGAGGATAATGGTGAATGGAGAGCCAAGAATGCAGCATTGTAAAACTAGTTACTTGAGCGAACATGTAAGTCTTAGACTGCACACAATGCAGTCAAAACCAAAACTGAGGAGCTGTCAGAGAGGGAAACACCTGCGCATTACTTACTTGCTTAGGAAATATGAGGAGCACACTCATGCTTTGCAACAATATAGGGCTGTATTACTTGTATCACAGAATTGTAATTTAGTTATTGACCTGCAACTTTAGTGCAGGTTTGCAAAAGGCTACAGTCACGATGTTTCGCATTGTGCATACCCCTTGTGTACAGTGTCTCGTAACAGCAAGACTCTCCAGGCCTAAGCCTCTTTCCACACCCTCATACTGCCTATGTTACTACTTAAGTCAAACAAACCAATAGGAAACCCATAGAAACTTATGAGACCTATGAGATATATGCGACTTCATGAGACCAAGAGTACATAAGAGAGAGTATGGAACTGCGTATACCTGCATACAAACACTGTGTACAAACTAACGTGACATGCACGTGATGAAACTTTGTAAAACAACACGTAATTTAAGCGATGACATTTACTAGTTGATTACGGGTTGTTTTACAAAGTTTCATCACGTGCATGTCACGTTACTTTGTACACAGTGTTTGTATGCAGGTATACGCAGTTCCATACTCTCTCTCTGTCATGTACTCTTGATGAGACCTATGAGGAGTCCATTCTTCAATCCATCTAGCAGTGCCAGAGCTCAAGTCCTAGATTCTGATCATGACACAGTTTACTGCACTATTCCATTCAGAGATTTTAGCCCTCCAGAACATACAGCATATAAGTAGTACCTACTCAATACCATGTAGCAATGCCTAAGAACCCATGAAACCCCAGCATTCATACCGAGTTTCGACTCACTGTGGCTATGCCACTCAGAAAACAAAAAAACCCTGCAATACCCAAAGAACTAAAAAATTTCGATATTTTCTACATACCCACTTTATGAATTCTTTGCTACTACTACAGTGGTAAAAATGGCATCTAAACCAACAAAGCGCAAATTGGAACCTGAAGAAGTTGAGAGTTTGGAGGAACCAGTTACTACTGCCTCTCTTCATGCAGTAGTTTCCTCCCTATCTCCCGTAAAGAAAGGCAGGAATAGCGACTACTTCGAAGGAACTGTAACGGATGGAAAATCAACTGTTCGACTCAAAAGGTCACAACAAAGCAAAATTCAAAGGTTTATGGATAAACAACAGCCAATTCTTCTAGATGATTGGCTAGAAGTGGCCCAAGAATGGAAATAATGCTGAAGGTTCCTACTGCCATCACTTCCTCTCCTAAGAAATTTTTAAACAGATTTTGTTTATTTGGAAGAAAAACCTATTCTTTGAATCAAAAGATGAATATGAAAAGGTGTCAGTGAATATAAAGGTCCTAAACGTTCTAGACCCTATCACAGTACCCACTGGAAAAAAATACAAGAAGTTATAATTGGCGATTCTAGTACATCTTCCAAATGCACTTTATGGGAAGATGATAGTGGCAGCTTGGCAGTAGGATCTTCTTACCTATCCATGTACGTGACTTTGGATCAAAGTTAATTTACCACTTGGAAGATGCTCGAAGGATGCTCAAAGGATGGATGTCAGATGTTACAGAGGTACTATGTGTGCCCTGAGCAGCTCTCAGCTAAATGACCACGGAAACAGGAATGGTTTCACTTTCTGCTTATGGAAACACTGTGCTGGCCCTAGCTAACAAAGAAGTTGACAACATCTCCGAATATATATTACTGCAGTCAACAGTGTTTACACCATCAAATACAACAGTGACAATGTTGTTACCCAAGTTGAACTGTAAAAACAACATTGAAAATATCATATTGAACTATAAACAATATCTCATGTTTTCTTTCCTATTATGCTGTTTCATAATAATATATTATGCTTCTGACACCTAAAAATCATCACTTTCATGCGTTATTGTGATTCAGTGGTGAACGGGAGCGAGCTACACCAACTGGCAGTGGTTTTTTTATCCTCAGCAGACATACGTACGGTACCAGTCAAAAAAATGCACCGTAGTTGTGTTACAACTCCAAAACTTAAAGGTGTTGCTATTGTATTGTACTCAGTGCTTGCATGAAGTTTTGGCCTTTTACGACCGGTACGCATGTGGCACTGGTTGGTGGTTGGTTTAACCACTGTAGTAACATTACGTACAATCCTTGCTGTAGTGTTGCTACATAAGTGCATTTTATCACTGTAGGACGTGTAGCTACACCTGTCTGTACATTGTATGCACCTACCGTACATGGTTAATACATAGGTACGTACGTAGTACAGTCACATTTGGGTAGATTTTTGTTTCTCACTGTAGTTTATCTGTAACTACACACCTGTAGAAAGGTCTTGAAACAGTTCAGGAAATAGTAATTACTCCCTTTTTCATGTGTACATTGTGCTGTTGTGTAGATCTGGTTTCTACACTAAAACCTGGAAATACGGTGCATTTTTTTGACTGGTACCGTATGTGCAGTGTAGTCTGCGAAGTGAGGTGAGCTCTGGTTGCATGCATAATGGACTTTCACATTCCTTTAGGTTGCAGGGTTCAGCCCACTTATATATAACAAGCAGGGTTTGACACAGTTAGGTTTAACACGCAGACTATATCAGTCCAACCTGGGTCAGCACTGGATTACTCAACCCAGGGTATAATAGGAGGCGTCCAACAAGCGATGGTGATACGTGAGCATGCATCAAATAACTGTCAATGGCAGTGTTGTCCAAGTACCTTACACACCTAACTACTGAAAACCCAATACGCAAATGAGCAATGACGTGCCTCGACAACTGGTTTCCCATTCACCGCACTGTGGAGCTATGCAGCACTGGGCATGTACGTAGTACTGTGCGGTGAAATGGAATATTATGTGCTTAACTGCCGCTACCACATAATAGTCATTTTTTTTTTTTCCCCTTCCCTCCCCTCAGTTTAGTCATTTTTTTTTTTAGTCAGGGTTTTTTTTTTTAGTAGTTTTTTTTTTTTCCCCGCCCCTCTCTCCTCTCTTTTTTTTGTCGGTCCGTTTTTGACTTTTTTCCCTTCCTTTTTTTTTCCCTCATCCTTCCCCCTTCCTCTTTTCATTGTTTAGGAAAGGCGAGATGAGGAGGGGGGGAACGGAGAGTGAGGTGGGGTCGGACGGGGGTGGAGGGGGGTTGGGGGAAAGGGGGAGGGAGAATAAGAAAGAAGAAGAGGGAGGGGAAAGCGACATAAGAAGGGAAAAAGCGAAAGGAAAAAACGAGAGGAGTAAGGAATGGGAGGGCAAAGAGTAGAGCGTAGAGCTTACTATTTAGCCTCCTTCTCCCCAAATCGCCTATCCGATACTTCCTTTCTTTTTCTTTCTAACTGTTATTGGTTTTTATCACCCCCACGACCCAACCCCACAAAAAACTTTTCTCCCCCCCGGTCATCAAAATGACCGAACTTTTTTTTTTTCTGGAGGGTCCCTCCTCCTTCCTCCACCATCCCATCCGCACCTCGCGCCTCCCCTCCGTCTGAGCTTCCGGTTTAATTTTTATCCTCGTCCGTTCAGGGCGATTTTGTAATTTCCCCGGTTTTCTCTTCCCCCTCCCGCGAACCACCTCATCCCTTCCTCCCGCCCTTCCTTATCTCGCGCTCCAATCCCCCTCGGTACCATCGCATCCTCCCGTGTCCCCTCCTCCAGAACTCCCCCTTCCCCTCCCTTCTCCAGCTTCCTCCTCCCCATCACGCATCTCCCTCCCTTCCCCCATTCCCGCCCCCTTCGTCCTAAATACGGCCCCGTGCAGTCCCCCCCCTTCTCCCGCGCTTTCCCCCCTCAAACTTCCTATTTCTCCTTCTCCTTCCTCACATGCTAGATTTTGATCTATTGAACTGCTAGCTCCACAATTGCGGTTAATGTAACCAGTTGGTCGAGTATTAGGGAAAAAAACACAGGACCGCACAGCTGGTCACTCGCATGGTATATAGTAGTTAAAATAAAAAAAAGAAGTCCAGTTGTGAAGCAA